ACTTTTGACTTTAAATTGGTATAGCCTAGGCTATATACAACCACTAGATACAAACACACACACACAGATTCCTACACCGTCACCAGCAGAAATCAACAACATCATAGTACAAAATTAAGCCATAGCTTTTAAAAATAAAGGCATTTTTTGTAACTGGAAAGGTCATGCTCTTAAGGAAAAACTAGGCTGCACTCCTCAAGAGAATGGGCAGACAGGTATGTGTACAGAGCTGCCATAATTCATTATTTGTAAAGCCATTTAGAGAGACCAATCTTTTGTCAGGATTATTGCAAGATTATACTGACCTTCAGTAACTCTTCCCTTTTTACATTCTTTCAACTTTTTCTTGGGATTAAAGAAACCGGATAGCATATGCAACAGTTGATCATCCCCTGAAAAAAACCCAAAGCGTTTTTACAGATAATGGGACTACCGGTTTGCTATCTTCATGACCTAAAAACAACAGAACTCACACTGTTCTTACCAGACACTCCCTGAGCAATCCACGGCATAGCAGCTCTGTTTTTCAAGGCCAGTAGGCATTTTCCCAACATGTTACAGGTAAGCTGTGCCTCTCTTAACTGAGGAATTTACCCTGGCATCAAGCACAGCTACAGGGCTGAATAATGAAGTTCTGAACAACAACAAGTCGTGTTCTATGCATGATTATCACATTCCTCAGTCAGTAGCAGCCACCTATTTTCTTGCCCATGGGGATGGCAACTCCAGCTCCCACTCTGCTAAGCATTTTCCTCCCCCAGGAACTGAGGAGACAGGACTAAGGCCAGGCAGAAGCTGGATGAAGAAAGCAATCACCACTACTAGCTTACCCATTTCTCAGGCAACTTTATGCAAAAAGGAGGACAACAGCCTTCCTGACGTGTTTTAAGACCTACGGACAGCAGCTCTTGACCAGTTGTAGCATAGGAAAAGGTATCTGTTGCTAAGCATCTTCCTGTGGTGATCCAAGGACCTGAGGTACTGCATGGATTCAAACACACAGCAGTTTATTTCTACTAAAACTAGATCCAGAATACAGTAAATGATGCATCATTGACTAAAATATTTAGGGAATTTGCACCTTATTAAGGCGTTACCTTAATAAGGTAACGCCTTATTTTCTACAACTCATAGAATCATTGAAGAGCAGAGATTGTAAGCGACCTCTGTAGGTCATCTAGTCCACTCCCCACTCAAAGCAAACTTTCAGACAACTGCTTTGTGTCAGGTCAGGCCTCAAAATACCTTTTTATAAACCAAGGTGTAATAAGACAAACACAAAATACCTCATCATGTAGCATGCAACATCTGACCAGAATTGGGTTTATTCACATTAATCCCACTTGTGTGAAGTACTGCTTAAGAAAGTTTAGCCTGTGCTAGGCTGTTAAAACAGCAAGTTATTTTAACTACTGAATAATATGTATATAATATCTTAAAGTAAGACTAATGAGTCAGGGGCATGAATGCAACCTTTCATAAGATTTTTTTTCAAAACTATTGATAATAAAAACATCAGCCAAAAAATGTTTTCACAGAGTAAGTAGAAAGCATTACTTACCACACATGGAACTAGCCAAGTTGATAAATGAGGCATGATATTCAACACACAAGTCAAAATATACTTTGAGAAGATACGAAACTTTAAGCAAATTACAGACTTTTGTGAAGTCTCCCATCTTATCTACACTAGACTTTCAAAATGTCTTGGGTTTTGTTAGCTAATGTGTTCATACTTCATGCATTTAACTTACTCCTTAGAGTAGACAAGGCCTTAGAAGCAACCCTTTTAGATGAGCTTTGAAGCATACTGTCAGAGTATCATTCAGGAGCTTATATTGTCCTTGCTCAATGTTGTAACCTGTAAATTCAATTAGGCTTCAGTCTCCACTAGCAAAAGTGATATTCATGATATAAGGTTACTAAAAGTATACTTGGTAACGCTATCTGTCAAACACAATGAAGTAAAGTGTAGCTTTGTAGATACATTCCTAAATAATACTCAAATTGAGGCTAAAAAAACAGAATTGATAGAATATACTTAAAAGACTGCATTTATTACAAAGGCACATAGAGTTTATGCCATTACTTTTGAATACTTACGTTTAAACTACAAACAAAATACAAAACTAGGTTGCAGTATGTAACAGAATCAACAGTGACTATCTAGTAAATTCAGTACAACATAATTACTGTATTTAATTCCACAAAGCAGTTCTGAAACAAAGGCACTAACAGAATTAACCCCCCCAAAGAAAAACAAAAATAAAAAAAAACCTAAACACACAAAACCCCACATATACTCTTTCAACATATAACATCTTAATTCCATTCCGCTTCCTCTATGGCACTGTGTATAACTCGTCTGACATGAAAGCAATAGCTACCTGGACTGACACATCAGTAGTGCCTAAACTAAAAGTTTATGGATCAACTTCTCCATTTTTTCTGTAACCATCTTATTCTCTTAACTGTATGAAAACAAGTTTAAACATGATGCATGGCAGCAACTACATAAAATTTGGTTTTATGCCTTATTGTTAATGATTATTAATACACTAACAGTAAGGAAAGAACTGTCAAAGTGCTCCAATTATGAATTAAGTGGACTGTTTTATTTCAACAAATTTTGTAACTAGTAGTTCCTTGTATATTAACATCTCTTCACCTGCATGTAGTTTTCATTAGCATGTGTTCACTAAAGGGGTAAATTTTCAGGCTCCTTCACCTCATCCCCTCCCACCACTCCACATACACTGGTGTTCAAGGCAATTTATTTGGTCTGTACAACATCTACACCCGAACTTTAGATTCAGGGACCTCTATTACTATTGCCACTTTACTTTCCTCCTCTCTTTCTTAGGGATGGTGGCAGATGGCTGAGCCAATTTCTCATGACATTGCAGATTTTTCTTTCATAACCAAAAAAGAACCTTATTTGCACTGCCACGAACTGCATGCTTTTCACATCATCTGGAGGAAAGGAAGAGCAGTGTGGAGTAACCACCTCATGAAGCCAAACACTAGAACATTGTACCTGTGCTCCGAGAGCTACGTGGCAGCTGTGCTCTCTGGCCAAACTGCATCCAGGCAGCTGGCTAACAAAGGTGCTGGAATGGTCTCTGCCCTCCTTCTATAGGAATAGACACACAGGGGTATGATCTAGCAAGGGAATTGTTTCTGCAGTTATTCAGTGCCCTCCCACACGTAAAATTCCAGATTTCTAGAAAAACTCTTCATCCCTCATACAGGAGACACTGTGCATTTCTGGTTCTCACATAACTTCAAACAGTGTACTGAAGCATCACTCAATTTCTCAGGAGGGAGAAAGGAGGAGGAACACACAGATAAAAGGCATGCATCTCTGCAAGTGCCTCCTGGCACCATTTCATGCTATTAACTTCAACACTCTCAGAGAGGTTTAATGGGGGGCACAGGCTGTCAAGAATCCCAATGCTAAAAGCTTTCTACAAGTTTCTTCTGAAATGCCCTGAAGACTTTCTTGAAAAACAGAATTGGAATAACCCAGAAATAGACTTCAAAAATCAGGAAGAGAAATAAAGCTGCCTTTGACTGCAGCAGTTTTCATTCATTGTATGAGGTAAAGCAACACCACCACTGATGATTTTCAAGCAGTAATATACCCCAGATGTAGAACCACAGGCCAAATGGCTCAACAGCCTCTAAAAACATAAAAGTCAGTGTATGAGATAGATCAAAGTTATTTTACTAATTATGTCACAGGGATACATACAACGGGCCAGACAGTACTGAGGACTAACAACTTGTATTTCAACGTTAGAAAAGTTAAAATTCTGGAGGACACTAAAAAGAAATCATGATTCATTTGATCAATACAAGGTGCATAGAACCAAAAGCCTTACAACCACTAGCAATAGTCATGAGGATGCCTCAAGACATTTCATGACTGCAAGCACCACCTTCCTGAAAATATGTTACCTCACTGTGGCAAGGTCCCACCACTCTTCCATTTCCTTGACTTCTTATTCACTGCTCAGCTTTATGAGAATGGAGAAGTCAAAATGGAGAAGTCAAAATGGAGATTTAATTTCTACTGTGTTGGGCTGGGATTTCTTACCCTCCTTTTCCATTATTATTCAAATAAGGATCTGTCATTCTGAGGTTCCTGCCATCTGCAGTTCCCACTAGAGACAGTCAGTGACAAGCCCCAAGCATTTAAAAACACCTGCAAAATGAATTCCTCTGTTACGATGAGGCAGTACTAAACACTGGCAGGTACTTCTGTTTAACACATTATTAAGGAGCTAATTTGTCTTCCAAACTCATCAACAGATGACTTAAGTAACCTTGTCCAATAATACTTGGATATCCAACAAATACTCATCCAATAATTTTAATGAAGAAGTCTCAGGTTTTCAGCTTTTGATTTATTTTTTTTTCCGACTAAGTGGCAGGTAGTTTGGTTTTGTTGTTAATTTCTAGCACTAAATTAAAACGGCCTGAGAAAAACAGCCAGTGAAGGCACAGTTTTTAACCCTTAAAATTCAGAAAGAAAACAAGGAAAGCATCAACTCATGCTATTTGCACAGCAAAATGAAACTAGGCTACAGAACTACATGTGGTTTGCTATGGGTTACAGAAGGAAATTGTGTTTCAAAAAAGGAACATTCCCTTTTAAATGGGAAAAGTATTACATGGTATCTCACCTAACAATAGTAGCTTCAAAACAGGCAGTACATACGTAACAGATATCAGGTAGCTTCTCAAGAGATTAAGTTTTTGTTTTAATACTGTGCAAAAGTGCTTCAGCTTTGGAGGTTTGATAATGCTCGTATTAGACCTCTAAACATTATTGCACAGCAAAAGTTATTGTGGTTCTTATTCCTGAAGTTCTCCTCCTTCACGCTTTCCCCATTGCATACAGAACAAAATCTCTTTTTTGTGCTTGAGGTATAAATTAACAATTTCTGCAAGAGAAATAATACTGCCTCATAGCTGAAGCATGTAAAAAAAAGATACAGAACTAACATTGACTTCACTGAGACAAAGGATTGCTGTCTTCCAGAAAAATATACTACAGTTGCATGGTGTAAACAGCACAAATTATACTTTTAAGAGTTTTATATGCAGAAGAGAGTAGATGACCTTCTCAATAGATGGGCTTCTGAGGATCCACATAAGCAGGGTTGTAAGGGGGCTGGCTGATTGGGTAAGGTGCTCCAGCACCAGCTGCAAAAGCAAAACACAAGAGAAAACAAATCTGTAAAACTTAACATTCTCAATTCTACATCTATAATGGCAACTTCTGTTTTAAGCACACAGTTAAGAGGATCAACTTATCTAGCATCTCAACTGGACTTGAGAACAGTTTGTGCTAACTCATACAGCATCCATACTTCAAAAGTAAGGTCACAAAAACCTTTACTATTGTGGTCTGGTTTAGGCTTTGCTTGTTATGCTTAAGTGGAAATGTGTATTATGGCACCCACAAGTACATGGTTAGCCTTCAGGGGAGGACATAGTCTGAAAAACAAAGAAACAGATTTGGTCCAAAAAAGCAGCCGATGCAAGTCAGAGATGCACAAACAACAGGACATGCCCAATAGAAGCAAAAATAAACCACTGGGCAAAAGAAAAAGGACCAGAGGAAGCATCTTAGGATTCTTTCAGGGAAAATGCTTTCCCAGTAAGTGTGACAGAGTTAATAAAAAAAAAAGGGGGGGGGGGTATACCATTGCTACCAAGCACATTAAAGAGTTTGACTTGACTTACATACTAGAATGTATATAACTCAGAATCTGTCTCTATTTTACAGTATTCTGGGACAAGCAGCTCTCAAGTGGCATCTTCGTTTTCAGGTCTCTCAAACAGCACGTTAGTTCAAGTAACACACCACCTGATCAGATCCCTGGAACACGTACGTGTGGGTATCTTTTGCTGATCTTGTAAAGTGAGTGAGTTTGGCTCCTGTGTGACAGAGCAGGTATTTTCTCCTTTGCATATGACCTGATTAAGAGGCTGCCCCTTGGTTAGCAGACAAGAGAAATAAAGGAAAGAGCTCTCACTTTGAGGTGTTCTCAGCCGGCAACATGGAAAAGCGCTTCAAGATTTTCCCAGAAAAAGAAGTATTTTAATAACTAACAAACCAGTAACAGTTTGAGAAACCAGAGCAGGAGAAGCAAAATGACTAGTTTATTGGCTCACTTTATCACATGATAAAAACAAAGCCATAGCACTTTGGGTAATTCCATAAATCCCACAGCTTCTTCAGTTTACAAGAGAGAGTCAACAGGCCTGCCAAGTCAGTGTGTTTACATGTGAGGCTGGTCTGCACACTGTTAATGTGCAGTTTCTAATTGGTATACAAATGCTTAAGACCATGAACAGCTATTTTATATTTGAGCTGTCACAAAAGAGTTACTTTCTAAGCATTATCTTCAGATACCTTTAGGAATTCGGGACAATACTTTGCTTGTTACTTGGAAGGATAAACAGCATGGTTTGTAAGAGGGCTTAACGATCCCAGTAGAGGTTAACAGTCTAGTTTTGACCACTCTGAAGAGCCAGGAGCCAATTGTTCAGGGAACAGGTATTACCAGCAGAAGTGGGAATTAGCATTAGCAACAATAAAGCTGCATGAAAACAAAGCTGTCAAAGAGGGAAAGCAGAAAACAAAAAAATTCCAATAGTTTTAACTTGTAGTTATTCGCAAGCTTGTCTGAAGCTGATCAGAGACAGTATTCTATGGAAATAGTGATGAACTATTAGAAAATGCCATCTGTGTAGAGACTGAAACAGCTAGCAAATATTAATTAGAAAACATATGTAGAAACACAATTACTACACATACATTAATTGGCCTTTTAATATGAAATCTTAACAGTATTAGTAAATTGCATCATTTAAATATTGTACTGGATCCTCCAACAGTCCCACATAGCACCAAACTTTGCAAATGCAGCTCCAGCTACACCTCCTCTTGCAATGCTTAACATAGAAATAGTGATGGGGAAATTGCAAGGGTGAATTACAGCACCCACCGTAACTTAAGTTTTACATAATTTGTTTACATTTACATTCATATAGTCACAGAAAATAATAAATGTAAATCATACAAAATTTGCTCCAAAGCAGTTGCCTCTTCAGCTATTTAAGAGATAAGCACTCAGCATTGTCTTACCTGCCACTGTTTCATGATAAGCCGGGGGTCCTGATGGCTGCATGGGATAAGGGGGAGGATACTGTGCAGGGTACGGTGCTGCTGGCATTCCAGGTTGTGGCTGGATAGCCACAGGCTGATATCCTTGGTATGGGGCTACTTGGTAATTGGGTGATGCTCCCTGTTGTTGGGGATAGGGAGCATGAACCACTGTAGTGGAAGTAGTGGTGGTCACAACAGCTACAAGCAAGCAAAAGGAATATGGTTAGTGTCGGTGGTTCTAGAAGATCATCTGGGAGAGCCAGCAACAGCAATGTAAAAAACATTCTCTCTCAAGCTCAATTTCTCATTTCAAAATCTGGGCAATTTTATTTTGAGTTCCACAAAAAACTTAAAAATGTATGCCTCTAAATAATGCTTCCATTGATCTTGGTGGCAATAAGAGCCTTCAGGTGCTGGGAGAGCAGTCAACTTACCTCATTTCTCAGCCACAAAGAGCAAAGAATTTTTGCCTTGGACTCTTTAAAACCAGGAACCCAAACCTGCAGCCAAGGTATCTATCATTTAGTATAAGACTGGAAAACCTACTGATTTTTTAAATGTTACCTGCTTTTAAGGGTTAAGATAATAAATATCTCATTTATTAGGTAAGGAGCTTCCTACCACGATTGCCCAAATGAGTTTCCTTTTCATGTTGCCTAGATGCTAACAAATCCCTATCCCCTGCTTACTCAAACAACAAAAAAACAAACCCAAACCCCCATGCTGGGGGTTGGAGAAGAGAGAACTTATAAATGCTTAGAAAACATTCCAAAACACCTCTCTGCAATTTCTCATTCTGAAGCACCTTAAATACGTATTTTTTTGTTTAGGTATTGCAACTCCTGCAGCAGAGAAGTAAGGCAAGATTATTTTCACCTTAAAAGGAACACATGGGGAAAAATGGGAGGCTTGTTCAAAGATGTAAAAAAGAAAATAAATATCCAGTACTTACGCCTTGGTCTTCGACAGGCTTTATACAAACAGCAACAGGAACAGGTGAGGCACAGAATAATAGTAATTATAATCACCGCACAAACAGCAACTCCAATCGCAGCAAGGGTTCCAAAACTGCAAAAAGATGCCATCAGAAGTAGTAAGATTCTTCTACACAAATTCATCCCTCCTCATCCTGACCTTCTGCAGCAAACACACTGCTCCTCCTCCAATCTGTTACTACTTCACACATTTGAAGAAATAACTGTCAAATGCAGTGCTAACATGAGGTCAGGCCTGCTAAACCAGTGGAAGCAGAGCAACCCCTATCAAGACGCGTGCTCCCCTGTGCATGAAAAGGACCCAATATGAGTCTTTGGTCCCTCCCATTTCAGTGACTCTGGGATTCTTGGTATTTTAGTACAACTCTGTATCCCTTTATGTACTCCAAAAGGTAACAGCAACAAATTTCAAAATCACTGCTTTGATGACTTCACTTTCCAAGCATTGCTTGACTGCTGTGAACACACAGGTAAGGCACGAACGAGATGAAGCACCCCAGACTCTGGGGTCACAGCAAGCTCTTCACGCGTTGATAAGACCTCCCATGCCCAACCCTGAGACAATTTTGGTCCTGAGCTGACCTCTCCGTGCTGCAGATTCTTGGCAGGTGCCTTGGCATTTGTAAAGAGTTGCTTTAGAAGCCACGCTTCATGTGCTTTGGAAGATCTGAAACTGTGCTAACTTTACTGCAACAGCAAGTATGCTATGCTGCATCTGAGAGACAGAAACACTGCTAAAACCACCAAAACCTAGTGTGAAAGGCCAAAGATTACACCAGCTTTAACTGTTGCGATGAGTATCAAATGATGGAGAATATTGTTCGTAAGTTCTGTTTACCACATAGGAAAGAGAAAGTATCACTGTAAATCATTAAATGCCCGGTGACAATTCCCTTTCAAGTGTTAATTCACATCCTCTGTTTCCTACTGTCTAAAAATCTATAAACCTCTTCCACAGCAGGCAAGGTCTTCAGCATTTTCATTTCTTAATTAAAAAATATATATATAAAAAAGCACCATACATCAATTTTGGGAACAATTGCAGAAAGTCAGTTTTAATGAACAACAAGCTCTAAAAGGAGTGGACAGCTGGTTTTATACCCATCCTGTTTTTCCTTCTGCATAGAGATTTTGGCCACAGAACTCTCTAGGTTTTGCTGTTTTTTTTACCGCTCAGTTTCCTGTTAGCAGCTCTGAACAAAACGACATCTCCAGAACCTCCAACAATTTCTGCTTGGCTACCAACCAGCCACCAAATGTGAAAATTGATTTTGAGTGTAAATGACACTGGAAAAGTAAATCATTGACAAGAAATAAAAAAGAATCGTTCTATCCCTAGCCCAAATTGGGAAAATCTCTCCTCAGCAATCTAGAGCAACTTAACCCTCAGTAAGATGGACACTAAAAAACAGGTTCTTAAAATGCCTTTTTTTTTCTTTAAGAGAGGCTCCATCAATTTTACTGTTTCTGCAACAAAGAATCTGATCAACAATTTTGTCTAATGGTAACTGTATTTTGTGCACTGATTTTGTTAAGTACTAAATATAATCCTATGGATCTACTTCTCAAGTACTAAATCCAATACTGTGGATTGCCTACAGTCACTGCATCTCAGTATTTACATGTAAAACAGGAAGCAGGAACTGCTGCAGCCTCCTGAAGTCAGAGAAGCCACGTAAGAAGCACGGCCAGGAAAGCAAAGATGATTGCAACACAGCTGCAGATGTAAAGACACACACACGCTTTGTCACATTTATTTGCACCTTTACAGAATGTTTTTCGTATGCTGACTTGCACACACAAATGCATTCCTAACTGCGATGCTTTTACACGCCCCCCCATCCTCACAGGCATTAGTTTCACTTCAGCACAGGAAGCTCACAGCCAGCACATCCCCACCCCAAAACCTCATTTCTCCAAGCCTGGTAGAAAAAGGAAGATACAAAATGCAATTGGTGGTGTAAACATGCACAATGATACCACATCCTGAAATACAGGCTGCCTCCTGTCCATAAGGCAATCACACATCAAGTTAGCCTGGAAACACAAGCTGAATATTTGTGTATCCAGAAATGGATTAGATGTAAGAGTGACCTGTGGAATTCAGATTAATTCTACAGGGTCCTTAATAGATATTCATTATATAAATTCATATATACACACAAGAAGAAAGAGAAGTGTGCACAATGATTCACACAGTAGACTTAACTTGCCTGCAATGTTCAAACAGCATGAATGTCTGTGACAAAACACAGACACCTCTACAAAATGCATGACGACAAACATTACCTACAGTTACTGCTACTTGTGGAGTGCCAACAGCATTTTCCATGCTCTTGTTCCCACTTCCCTACCAACCCTGAGAAACCTCTCTCACTAGGGAAGCTAACGTTTCCATTACACACAATTATTACCAAGCAACATTAGCAGAGACAACAAAGGAAAAGTGTCTTCCAGGTTCTTCCTCTAGCATTTTCCCCAGTAAAACAAGTAAGAACAAACAAACTCACAACAAACACACCAAACCTTTTTCCTAGTGAACTAGCTATGTGTCAAGGAAGGAGAATAGGCCTGAAAAAGAGAACTAAGATTTTTCACTTCTACAGACAATGAACCTCTCTGAACTTCAGCAAAAGCTGGGCAAAAATCAAAGAAACCTAAGAAATTGAGAAAATGGACAAAGTGGAGAAACATCTACACATCACAACATAGCACAGCAGGAAACTGGCAGAGCACCCTTATCTTTCAGAACCAAATTTGGTTCTGATACAAGAGAAAAAACAGCACAAGCATTATCTGCAGCCAAGCTGGCCACCAACAGATAAACACTGGTCAGTTTGAAGCATGGGCTCCAATAGCTTATTTTTAATAAAGTTTATTGCTCACTGAAGCACATATCTCACTGCATATTTAATACCTCTAATAAGGAACATGACAAAAGCAAAGCTCAGAGGAAACAAAAAAAAACCCCAACCACCACCATATCCTCATATTCACCATGTTACTGGAGACACCCTGTGCATTTTCATCATTTTTCTTCTTTTTTGCTTAAAATGACACAACTATGGCAAGATGACATTTTGCATCTGTCTTTTAAAGAGCTAAATAGAGACATATATTTAAAGTACAAGTGTGTCAGCTGTATACACTTTACAGTGCAGTTCTGTGTGTAAACAACACTGTGATTCCATTCTACCCATGAAAATACTGTGTAATTGCTACACGCCAAAATTATAAGCCTTCAGAAACAGCCCAGTGAACATAATAACAGACAGGAGTTAGTCCTTCCCAGTTTTCTAAGAATTGTACACAACTGTAGGCATTTTTATCACCTACTTTACAGCAGAAGCATAATATTCCTGCCAGTGCTTGGACTCACGCAGACTGACATCTTGAAGCCGCAGAAGGCAGTGTGACTTTCACAGACAACAAACCAGTAAGTGTTACGAACTTGCAACTTGTGGCATCAACACCTTCTCTCAACATTAGAGCTCTTCAAAAGTTTATGGGTTTTTTTTATCCATTCCTATTGATGATCAGAACTAGCAATACTCTTGGAATATCTGAACAGTCAGGCACTACCTTATACTGCCCTAACAGTATTGCCCTGAGCACTTCTTCCTGAATATTCAGTAACAAAAGTCCCAAAAGTGCAGGAAGCTAACCACAAGTGAGGCCAGAATGGTGTTCAGCATACTTTACTCAGTAAACCATCTAAGCTTCAGGAGACAAGATATTCCAGCTACTTCATAACGACTCTCTTGCAGCATGTTAACTCCAAAAAGCCTGCGCTCCTTCCTTACACAAAACCATTGCTTCATTAATTGCTTTTTCGTGATGAACCTGTCTAAAACAACTTTGAAAATATTTGAAAAAAAAATATATTCACACTAAATAATTTAATTACTTCTGTTAGCATTATACATAAATGAAAAAGATCAGACATGAGGGACTGTAGCTTAAAGATTCTTCCCCTAAATGGTTAACCAAGAAAGAGAAATCAAACAAAAACCCAATTCAAAAAACCCACCTTCCCCACTGCATTCTGCAAACAAACATCAAGGTGTAGAAATCAGAGGGGCCATTGGCAGCAGATCATAATGCTCTGATGGCTTCACAGTCTGAACACGGGCTTCCAGACTCCCACATCGTATGCACCGAGTCTCTAAATAAAGCACACCCTGTTATAAACAGCTTGAGTTTATTCCCTGTCATTTCCTGCTTCTTTCTTCACAAGAAAGCTAACTTTTGCCAAGAATTTAAAAGAAAACAAAATCAGACCTAATAGCACTTCTACTGCAGCAATTATAAACTGCAACTTCTCATAGTATCTACAGGAAAGTAAATGTGAAGAGACAACTCCCTGGCCCTTTCCTACCACCCTCTTTCCTTGCTCTATTCTACCCCTATTCTCTCACCTTTGGAAAGCACTAAATTGTATGTGTAAGGAGCATACCTCAAAGATTCACCTTACCTTTAAAGTTGCCTAATTATTCAAAATAGGTATCACTTCTCATAAAGGAAGGTATGTGATCAGCACCTGTTTTACTCCTGTTGGTACTAAATGAGATACAACGGGCATATTAAAATGTGAGTATCAAACACAAGGTCTAAATAGTACTATTTGTAGCAGTTAATTCTCAGGGCTGTTGTTCAGATCAGAGATCTCAAACACTGTCAAGTGTGTGTGGGGGGGGAAGTAAAATGCTTTGAGTGTATTCAAAGCCTTTTAAAACGTCCAAGTTTCAGTTCCACCAACGTATTATTAAACCTCCTTAATAGTCTGAATCACTTAAACTGGCAACGTTCTGTAAGCCCTGCTGTAAAGAAAGCTTTTGCGTGCATTTATGACAATGGTGGACACTGCAAATTGTCTTTAAAAAAAAAATATCCAAGTAAACAACAGTAAGACCACCTAGTTCTGAAATTAATAGTTTAAGCAGAAACTATTGTGAAAACTTGTGAAACTATAGTGAAACTTGTGAAACTATTTCACCAGTTCTAATCTATTCCAAGAGTTGTTCTGTTTTACATGAAAAACATTGGCAGGGTCCTTTTCAAAAGCACAGCTGC